CTGCGGCAGAAAAATTGAGAAACTTCTACGGAGAGACCTTTTTGTTACTTCAGCGAGCACGTTTTCGAACCTTTGCATTTCTCCAACTGCCAGTGCTATAGCAACGAAAAGTATATATCAAAGACTTCCACTACAAGCTCACTCGTAGAAATAAAAGGCTGCGCGGTGGCAGCGGGCTTGATCATCGTCTGTTACGACAAACGGCCGAGGTTTCAAACGAGATCATTTCGGGCGAAGGCATTCGGCACGCCAAGCCAAAAGTCCACTCGCCAGGCTCAAAGCGTTCCCGAGCGACGAGAAAAATCCGTTGACCGCGAGCGCCTGGAAATTCCTATAATTTGCATATTATCCGTTACGACAGTTGCTCGCCTTTTCCTCTCGCAGCAGCTTTGAAGCAGGCTGCTTTTTTCTCGTCTGTTTGCCTGGTCATCAGAGTCGGGCACGTTGGCCCCGGCACGTTGGCCGGCCCGCGATTCGCTACATATTCTCAAAGGGCGTCCAACGTACCCCCGTCATCCCTGTCGTTTGACCGCGAGCGTTTCCTCTGACAAGCACGTGCTGGAAACACACTCACCAGATCAGAGCCAGCGTACGTATTACTTGCACACGCACGTCCATCGCCGACCTGCGACCAGCAAACGCGCGCGTTTTTACCTGCAAACAATAGAAAAATTTTCGGCCGGCGGCCACCGTGTGCCGCCGCGTCGATCTGCCAACTGAAATCGGATAGGATTGGGCAACGCCCAGATTGTGACCTGTGGTCCTCACCTCACGTAAAACACCTTCCCGGACGGTGGACGACAGCCCAAGTGGAAGGGGTAGCGTCGAATTCAATTCCGTCGTGGACGACGTCGCCGCCGGATGCGAGCGTTCGCCCTTCTTTCAGCTGTACGAGCTTCAGCTCGAAACGTATTTCGTTGCACGTGCTCCTTCACGACTCGGGATATTTCGGGCCCCTTCCCAACCAAATCGTTGCTATCACCTACCCTGTACCACGCATTCTGCCCCGCTGATTGTCACGTATGACAGATGTGCGATACTTGAGAAGCGTATTTATTTGCCGATGAACAGAGGATCGATCAGTTTCAAGTGTACGGCGTGAGAGGAAGAGGAAGTAGAGTAAGTCCGCAACAAAAAGTACAAAGTGTCGAATGAATGTGTTACTCGAGGTAACGTCGACGAACTCGATTTCTTGAGAAAGAAGAAAAAAAAGAAAATTTATTTCTTCTAATTATGACACACTTATTCGAATTGATCGTTTGTTTCGCAGTTTTCTGATTGATTTGGAGTTAGCTTTGGAAAAACGAATATATTTCCAGTTGTAAAATCATTGAAAATCGGGGAATATAGTCGACGAGTTTTATCGGTTATTAGTGGATACCCGTCCGTAATTAATAAAGTTCGATGACGCCTCGTGCCGAACGAGCGCGGCTCGGTTTCATTTTCAAACGAGCACGAGGCTGCGTTTCCCGTTCGTTTCTATCCCCTCCTCCCCCTTGAATTCTCTGATACCCTCGGTTATAGGATCCTTTCGCCGTAACTTCGCCCATAGTCGAACGAACTTCCGAACTCGTTTCTCCGGGCTTCAATTCCGTTTCTCTGTTAGCCAAGCGGGCACGTTGCGTGGGTATTCCTCCCAGTATTTTCAATACGAGCAAACCCGAGAAAATCGGTGCTCGAGTTTCCTCAAAAATCTGATATACTACGCGTTTGAACATTCCACTTTTTTAAATCATCCAGCTCGTAGTGAATGATCAAACTATTCGTGCAACTTTTTCGCAACTTTTGTAAAAATATAGATATATACCTGAGCATTATTTTTCGATAAATTTATAATATTCGCTACAAAATTTTCGTAATTTCTCTACAATCTTTCCTTCCAAGGAAATTATGTCGATTTGAGTTCGCAAAATTTTGGATTCCTTTTTCTTTATCTTTGTTCTACAAACTTTTTGTTAAAACGAGAAGTCGCTTTCATTATCGAAATTTGCATGAAATTTTCAGTGTATTCGACTGCTTGAAAATATTTATGTTTCTTCGTTAATTCAGGTTACGTTTCTTTGACACTTTTCCAATAATATCACGCAAACTCTGTCACACTCAAGAGTACTTTCTTTCGGCGATCATGACGAAAAGTCACTGAAAATATTGCATGCACAGTGGTTTGTTCGAACCGCATTGCAATTTTCCTACTGAATGAGATATTTTTGAAATCTCTTTCACTCCATATTGTCGTTTCCTTCATCTAATCACGTCCTCGGGTCCGGAAGGGTTAAAAAAATCATTCCGAGTAGTATGTAAATTCAAATTTCTTCCAGACGAGCGTCACTCTAACGCGCTCGGAACACGATCACGAGCTGAAAACCACGAAGTTCAAGTTGTTCGGCCACGACCCTTGTCCGGGACGTTACTCGACCAGGAAGGAAAAGTACAAGCACAGGAGGAGCGTTCCACGATTAATCAGGATTAGCCAAAGAACCGACCCTTAACCTCGCACTGTCCACTGTTCGCGTGATGACCATCAGTCATCCGTGTCCCTCCCGTGTCCGTACACGATTCTCCAACATCCCCTTTCTTCCGCGGCTGTGTACGGTCACCTCGCGAGCACCTATAAGCCGGACGATCATTACCGTGTCATTAACTTTGACGACCGTGTAATCGTGACGGGCCACAGGTCAGGGGGGCAAGCAACGTACCTCTCTGACCAAGCCGAGGTCACGTCGGTAAGGTCACGGTACCACGTGGACCGAGCTCCGGCTCGATCCTCCGGCGAGTCCTTAGAAATTAATTGACTCACCCCGAAGCACCGAGTGCCGTTTGCTTAGCAAAGTTCCAAAGTCAATCGAAGTAACGCCAGCTTCAAGTTGTCGCTGTCGTGCCGACGTGCCGTACCAAGTTCGATCGTTTCGCTGGACAAACGAATCGATTCGGGGGGTTGAGTCTATCGGAACGTCGTTTCGGCTTTCAAGTAAAGATCGTTCCCGTGTCTTTCGCAATTAGATCGTTTTAATTATCAATACATTTGACAACAGTTCGGATCTGATTATAGTCGAATAATTATCGTCGCGCCAAGAGAGAAGGACAGAGAAGGGGAAGAAATCACATTTCAGGAACGACGAGTCTAATGGAATCTCTTCATGCGAATGAAAACTTCCGAAATGAAATTATTCCGGCACAGCCGTGCACGCGGGTAATCCGGGTGATCCGCTTCGATCAGCCTCTTCATTTTTACATAGCCCGATTCCAGCGAATTCAGTCCGGTAAATTGATTCGATCGTCTCGTGCAACGGATATCGCGATCTCATCGCGAAGTCACGATATCTCTTCGATTTCTTCTCCCCTCCCTCTCGTCGACGGCTTTGTTCCCAGCGAAACGGGGACCAGGAGCTGGCCAGGCTTTCCCCTTGGCCGGAGGCGCGGCGAAAAAGAATCCCGCTGCCGTGATAAAAAGCCGTGGTAATCTCCTTTATAAATTCTCGCGCCTCGAGACGCCCGGGCCCGGTGGTTTATTACGAAAAGTGTACGCCAGCCTGCTTAACAATGCAGACGCAACGCTCACACGAGCTCGCCGCGACGCGAGATGATGCAGGTCATCATCTCACGGGTTCCCCCCTAATGAAACGCCGGACCAGCAGACAGAAACGGAAGATGGAAGGAGACGCACGACTGTACCAACGGGCAGGACCACGGGCCATTGTCCTTGCAGGACGTTGGGCACCAGGTGGCTAGGATCAGGACCATTACCTTCGTGGATTAATTGCCATGCAAAAACTCACGATGGCTAACGGAATGATAGGAGTGTCCGTCTTCAACGGTTCGTGCGCGCTTTTTGCCCGCTGCCAAGGAGACCAGCATAAGTTATCAGGATGATTAAACAGAGGGATCACGATGATGCGCCGCGAAACACCGAGGCACACGGGGGCACACGTGTACTACGTGTCCACAGGTCCACGGGAAAGGGGTGCAAGATTCGGGATGTTGCTAGGTGGTTGTCGAGACTAGGAAGATTTCGGGAGTAGAAAATGTTCTTCGTGGGATAGTTGTCCCCCCTTCCTTACGTCATCGAAATAGAGAATTCAAAGCGGAGTAGGGTAACATTGTTGTTAGACAACCTGTTTGTTAGAGATTACCTTCGAAAAAAGATATTAACCTTGTCCTGTGTTGAAAGGACCAATGCAAAGGATTAAATACCAAACCTATGTTTTATATTCGTAATTATATTCGTCTTAATATCGTACGTATCAATTCGAAATACCAAAATTTCCTATTTTCAATTAGCAATGCTTCCATATGGCCAGACATATTTAATACACAAAGAAGTCACTTGTTATTAGAGAAGGAGCGAAGCATATTTCTCTGATATTGGACACCTAACCTTGGCTCCTTGTAGGAAAGCCTAATACGGATACATCGCTTTAAAGCGTCGAAGGGTGAGAGTGAATGTTCGGAGGGTGGTTGCCACGGCGGTGGCCGTGAGGCAGCAGCGTAGGCGGCTGGGTTTTCGGGGGTTGGTGATTCTAAGAGGTCCGGCTCTCACACGCGTGGGCCTCGTTTCGCCTTCCATCTTCCTCTCTCTCTCTCTCTCTCTCTCTCTCTCTCCTCTCTCTGTTTGCCTCTCAGTCTCTCTTAGTCTCTCTCTCTCTCTCTCTCTCTCTCTTTCCCTGTGTTGCTCCTTCTCGTTCTCTTGGCTACGAGGGTTGAGGAAGGAGGTGAAAAAGGGGGAGAGTCAGTGGCGGCTCTGGTCCAGGGGGCGCCAGTATTGATCTCACAGCCCACTCCTCCGCTTCGACCACCGTTGAAGGAAGGCGGAGGCGGTTGAAAGGGTGGGTAAGATGTCAGCATGCGTACATACAAAGTAGCCCAACAGCCGCTCGTCCTGGCTGGCTGGCCGTGTACGCAGTGTCTTGTACGTTGTCTGCCTTAAATAAGTTATCCCGCTGAAGGTAACGGTGTCCTCCCGTGTACTCCCGGTACCACGGATGCCCCTGGCCGATGTAGAGCCCCTGCCCCGGGTCATTTAAATGTAGGAGTTTGTAATCCTTGAATTTATACGCTCGCTCGTATGCCGGCTGATGGGTCCACCTGCTCGGTGCTCTCGCTGCTTGTGGCCTCCCAGGCATAAAAACCGTCGTCCTTCTGGAAACAAGCCTTCGCGTCTCTCACGCCCGGCCAGTTGCCCAGATATTACGCAATAAATTCCAAGTAATGATCGAGATTGAACGTAACTCGCTAGGTGGTCGTACGACGTTCGTCGCAAGCGGCCAGGATTTCCCTCAGTTCTAAGGATCAGGTCACGCCTTTCAGTCTTTCCGTATTACATTGCCAAATATAGTCTATTCAAATAGCTGATCGAACGGTAGCTGAGTAAACGTGTTAATTCGAAATTATCGAGAACTTTCCACAGTTTAGTTAGACCAGGTGCTACATTTTATAAATGGTTCGGATAATGAGAGCGCAAAGTCATTTATCCGTGGACGACGGTCTGTTACGTTCCGTGGCTACTCGCGTCGAATAACATACTCCGAAGAAGATTTACAAAGTCAATTCCGGACGCGTGGATAACGTCCTAACGTGTCAGACCAGGTGGACCTTTGCACAATGCACCGTGACAGTAATCGTCCGCAATCGCGGCTGCCCTCTCTCATTAATTTCTCCTCGGCGGCGATCGCCCGATGGAGTCCAATGGCCCAGGAAGCCATCGTCAGCCGGTGAACCGAGGAACGTTTGTCATTCCCGTGCGGCTCGCTGGTCATCAACTTATCGTTTCATCCGTAGAAAGCGATACATCGAGCGTTACGGGGTGATTTACATCTTGTCGTCGGCTCTGACACCGGGTATCGTCTTCCATTGTGTAACCAGGATCCCGCTGGCTCGGTTTCCTCTTAACCAGCACGATCATCCGTGAACGGAGATTACACAGGCGCGCGTTTCAACGTGTCCTGTGCTCAGCGTGCTTAACTTGAGCAGAGAAGGAAGAAAGGACACAAAGGCAGGCATCAAGGACACGGCCTCGCGTAATTATCTCGCGCAAAGGCAAGCGCGAGCGCCAATACGCACACGCACACGTGTCGTGTTCATTGTCGGTGACACGGGGCGCGAGTTCTCCTCGTTACGCTCATGCGTGCACGCACGTACACACGCGTGGCGCAGAAGCGTGAATAATGTAAGGAAAGCCAGGCAAAAGGGATACGTCGGGGGAGAAAAAAAAAGCCAATAAGGGCTTTGTCCAACGGGGTGGCTCGAGTGCAGAAGATGCTGCCCCTCTACCTTCGCGCGTGCCCACCCCCGGCCGGAAGGGGAGCCGCTTCCCAAGGAAAAAATTATTTTTTAGTATCTGCTGAAAAGTCTTTTACCTTCTTCCTGTCCACGTTCTTTTTATTACTTTGCGTACGC